AAAAAAAAAAAGAAGCTGATGCTTTAAGTCCCTTAAAATCACAAAGGGGGTCACCACACTGTAGTTTGGGAGATTAAAAAAAGAAAGAAGAAAAAGACTGCATTCCCTTCCTTATGCATCCTGAAAGGGATTTGTGTCCATTCTTATTAGTGATCAGGGATCTTTTGTTCATTAAACTTGAACCACACATAATCTGCTACAGGGTTTCCCAACCTTGGCACATATTTCACATTAGAAAAAAGAAAATCACACGGTACCATACAAAAGTATCACAAAAAGCACATTGGTAATTTTCCCCCACGCGCCAGGTATAGTGTTTGACCCCTGTGTGATATGACCAAAATCTCTTATCCCAGTATAAGACGTCCCGATAATTATATAAATCACAAAAACTTAACATTTTCCGTAAATTCTGTGAATCTCGGGCAGCTCGACTCACGTGAAGTGTTTCTAGCTGGGCGTCGTGTACCTGGAGTGGAGTGTTTTAACTAATGCATGAAACTATACATTTTTAGACATAAGTTGTAACGGCCGCTGTTTTCTTTGTGAGTATTTATTACACAGCGTGCTGCGGATAAAAGCCTATTCTAATGTTTAACTCTAAGGTTTATTCTTTAGCACCTGAACTGCTCTTTTTGGCTTCTCATCCGTAAATGCTCTCCAAACCTTTTCACGTGATTCAGTTTATTTTCAAAAGTCTCAAATGGATCTTTAGCTTTATTGTGAACGGTTTATGTGGAACTAAACCAGCAGACGCAATGGTTTTACCGTCGTTGTTGCTAACGACAAGGCATAAAAACAGGCGCTTGTCCAGCCATAGTATGGTTATATTAAATATATGAGAAAGATAGAACTTTAATAAATTAATATAGCCACTACAGTGACCATCAAAACGATGAAAAAAATATTGCCGTAAACAGTTTATTTTGCGACACCACGAAACAAACGATAGCGTAAAATGAAACGATAGAAGTTTTTATATCGTCATCCGATATATATCATTGTATCAAACAGCCCTAGTCCCCAGTATACATTTTTTTGCTTTCTTCTACCACTACTCATGCTAGGGCCTTCATCCGGGTTGGGATTTTCTCCAAGACCCAGGTCAGACTGACTACTTTTTCTTTTAAAACATAGGGCCGATGTCCTGCAGGTTTTAGATGTGTCATTGATCCAACACAGCTGATTTAAATAGCTAAATTACCTCCTCAACATGTCTTTAAATTCTCCAGTGCCCTAGTAATGGACTAATCATTTGATTCAGGTGTGTTGACCCAGGTACTAATCAGGTGGAACCAGACGATCTTCCACGGCACACCAGTTGGGAAACACTGGTCTACTATGCAACTCCACATTTGAAAATGGTAAATCCATTCAACATACTCAAACACATAAATAAAAATTTCTGGCTCCATATAGAGCATAGGTGTCAAACTCTGGCCCGCAGCCTAATTACATTTGGCCCACGAAGCCTTACCAAATTACTACTAGAGCTGGCTTACTGGTATTATACAGCTAATATATATATTGTTTAGTATTAAGCTTTGCTTGTTCCATATTCAGTTTTTCAGCAAAACTTGTCTGAGTCCATAAGAAAAGATTCATTCTTATATCTGGAGGAAGATTTTTTTTTCAATAAATATTAATGTTAGCCTCGCGACTTTGTTCCAGTTTTGAATTTTGGCCCACTGTGTATTTGAGCTTGACACCCCTGATATAGAGGGTGTTTTATTACTTGGACGGCGTTAAACACCCGCCAAGAATAAAATGATGGTGGTGGTGGTGATGACGATAATAAACCTGGGACAAATAATGAGGTGATGATGGATGACAAAACCTGGGGCGAATAATAATCTGTTTTTAGGTTCCCTTAAAAGGTTCGCTACGTTGTCGATGGCCTATAACAGTGCTAAAGCCTTTAATTTCACCCCAGCTGCTATCTGGTTGGCCAGTATTAGATAGTTATTGATGCAGCAACCGGCAAACAAGGAACCGGCGTTTCTCCAAAAGTTGATTCTGTTCATCTGGACGTAGCGTTTTCGATGGGAGAAACGTTTCATCACTCATCCAACTGACTTCTTCAGTCTCCAATGTTTCTCTTTTCTTTTGCAACTGTAGTGTGTATGATGTTTTAATTATTTTCCAGAAAAAAAAAACGTCCACCGGCCTTAGTGCTGACGCTTACATGCGTCTATACCGCAGACTATTTGGCTAATGCCAGCATACAGGCTAAACAGACTGGATTAGAGTGAACAAAGCAAATGAAAACCAAATTGCAGTATAGGTTACACGCCGTGCCCAAAATGCTTTACGCCAAATAAAACCAAATACAAAAATTACACAGCAGCTAACAAGGGTACAAGTTAACTGTATCATATCAGATAACGGAACACAAACGTGCCGCGGGGTTGTTGCTAAGCTAACACCCTAACAAGAAAGCATGGGGTCTCCTCGTTTGTGCAGCCGGTAAATAAGCATCGCTTAGTCACACACTCTTATCTTAAATCTTACTGAGCCAAACTCACCTACGACCGGGTGAAAGTGATGTTTCGTTTAAGCTGTTTTAAAATCCAGTTTTGCTGTATGAGCAGGCACAGAAAAGGCGTGCGGCACAACTGTTACTCGCGTGAGGACAGGAAGTGTGTTGACGTCATCACGCAAAAGGAGGACCCGGCCTTCACGGTCTACCTGGGCCGGGTCCTTCGAAGACCGAGAAGGCCGGAAGTGCGAGGCTGTGAAATTGGATAGTCTAGCCTTCAGATTTACGTCACCGCTGTCTCGGTTAGTGATGGTAAATTCGATTCTTCTTACTGAATAGAGTTTGAATGAGTCATTTGAGTCAGTTGACCAGAGTGCAAAAAATTTACATTTTCACTCAAACTTAATTTGTTTCTCTTTTCATGTATATCCTACTGCTAAGATGGGTGATTGAAAAAGAAAAACTATTTTTATAATGCAAAAAATATATATTTTTTTGGCGTTTGTAAACTCAATCTCCTCAGTCAGGGTCAAAACTGTAGCTCTGACTGTGCCTGAGGTGATTATAAAAGGGAGACCATACCAAAGTGATGTCAGTTTGTATAGAAGTATAGAAAACATAGTTAGGGATTACATTATTTTAAAAACAGGCACAACTGTAATTGAATATTTATGGAGAAAACGGAGAGAAGCACAATAAGCCAACTTTGACTACATGAAGCAAATTTAATGAGTGTAGATGCAATTTTTTATTTTTAAATAAAAAGTGATTCTTTTTAACAAAGATGGTCTCTGGATCTGGAACACATATCAATGTTACCTGAAGGCAACTATCTCTATTTCTCTTCTCATTTTATCATCAAATATCAGACTTTATGTTACTTTCACTGGCAGTTAATGGTTTTAATTATAATTCTTTGTGTCTGTGGTTAAATTCTGTGGTTATCAGGACTCCAGGTCTCTCCTCTTAGACGCGCTGTCTCTATCCAAGAATGAGTGTTTCTGTTTGGGTGTCAAGCTGGTGAGAGGAGCCTACATGGACAAAGAGAGAAAACTAGCGATGAAAGAGGGTCACCAGGACCCCATCCATCAGAGCTGGGAGGACACCAATGACAGGCTGGTAAGACAGAACGAAAACCTCCGGAGTATAACAATCGCCAATCATTTTTGATCTTGATTCGACTCTTGATACATTTCACGTCTGCTTGAACAGTTATAACGGATGCCTTGATGTGATGCTGGATGTCATGTTGCAGGAACCTGAGCGGTACAGGTTCATAGTTGCCACTCACAACGAGGAGTCAGTGAGATGAGCTGTGACACGCTGAGACAGCAACGTAATCGAGGTGGTATTTGATGTACAGAAAATCAAAAGATTGCTTTCATATACTTTAATGTATGAAATGCTTATCAAATTTCACAAAAAAGGAAAACATGATGCTCAGAATTTTCTGTAACCTACAGGTGAGGATTTATAAAACTAGACTTAAGCAACAGATCCAAACTTCTCTACAGACTAAGCTGCTTTTGCAAGATTTTTGTTTAAAGCATAATCGAAATGCTTTTTTCCGGTTTTTATATAATAAATATAATTACACACACACACACACACACACACACACACACACACACACACACAGTCCTCTTTATAGAGCCTCTGTAGCTTTAGTTAGCAGACAGACTGCATGTCTTTTCGTGTGAATTAAAGTATTGTACTTGTCCAAAATGCAATGACTTGTATGTAGGCAACAAAAGATGTACCACTTTTTAATTCACCCTCAATCCACTGATAAGCATCTTAAAGCAGGTGGACTGAGACTGATTTTAATGATATGCTTTTAGTTTTCCATACATGTACTGAATTTATATTATCACTGCAAAAAAAACCCAAACAAAACACAACACTGTTTAATATTTATTTATTAATCTGTTAAAATAATAAAACTCCAGATTTATTCCAAGAAATTGACAGAAATGTAATATCACATTCTGCCGTTGCTGACACAAAGCAATGCTAACTGACATAGAAACAGCAGCAAAACAGTTTCATTGAGGGAGCACGGCCAAGAGCCAAACTCACAAAATGAGGTACTGATGTTGTCTTGGAATGAAGACCAGCTCTACTGGAAAAACTGAAATCCACAAACTTCAAGCTCAGTAATTTCCTTGATTTTGATTCCTGTAACCGCCTCTCTGGTAACCCGACTGCTTCTGCTGGTAAGATTTCCCGTCTGCGGTTGTACAAAGACAACAATCATCTCATTAGTGTTCACACAAATTCACTAAACTACAAGAAAAGAAGAAAAAAACAAACCACAAAGGTGTAATACTGATGGATGAATTTAAAATAGCATCTACTGCTGAAAAGAGAACCCAACCCACATCTACCTCATTGACATAAAACAGGAAACGACCTCAGTGAAATTTAACATACCTCTCTGGTAGGATTGCTTCTGTTGGTAGCCACCTTTCTGATCTGTATGACAAATGAAAGCTAATTATCATCTAATAGCAAAAGTTGGAAAATAAATGGTTCAGAAAGGTTAGAAATAAGTTCCAGATTTAACGATCCCTAAGTACTGTGAGAACATGATGAACTTACCCCTGTTGAAGTAACCGCCATAGATGCCTTGTTTCAGGTCAGATACGCGCTCGTTGTTCTCCACCAAGTTGCCCAGTTTCTCTGCCAGCTTCAGAGCCATGTTCTGCAGAGACGTTGGCTCAGTGCGGTGCATCATCACCGTCTGTGTGGGCTGGTCGAGTGACGCCTGTTGGGAAGAGAAAAATGGGGGGATCCAAATTAAAGGCATATAAAAAGTAATCACAAATATAAACACTCTCAAATATAAAAGCCCCCATGAGACTGCTGTGTCTATATTTTCAGTCCACAGAACAGAAACGTCGA